AGGTGGTGGGACGTACTTGTCCAAGCACCTTGTCCACATCATCAGGCTGCAATAACTGAAATTCATCCAATAATATCTGAGCAGATGGAGTCATTGGCATCTCCCCTAAAGGATCTGAATCACTTGTGGAGTCCAGCTCGTGACGAATCTGAGCGATTTTCTCCTTAAAGAGCTGGACAAAGTCGTCACAGCAGGCCATCGAAGGTGGTACGGGATCTTTCTTAGGGCCAGGGTGTATCAGCCCATGTACCACTCAAAAGAGCTCCGCTGGACGGCACTGTGAGGAGGCAATGGAAGTGGAGAAGAATTTCTTCTTCGCCACCCTCACCGCCACAGCATAGGCTCGATAGTGAGCTCGTAGGCGTGTCCGGTCAGATTCATCCCGTGATTTCCTCCACCTGCGCTCTAGCCGTCTCCCAACCCACTTCATCGCCCGTAATTCAGATGTGTACCATGGGGATGAATGGACTCTGCCGGACAGGAGAGGATGCTTAGGAGTGATCGTGTCAATTGCACTGGCCATTTCCCCATTCCACCGTTCAACCAGAGCATCAACAGGAACGCCAGCTTTATCAACCGGAAAATCCCCCAGAGCCTTCAGGAATCCATCCGGATCCATCCAGCTCCGAGAGCAGACCATCACAATAGGGTCCACACCCTTACAGAGGGAAAGGCCCGCCCCAAGCTCAAACCTCTCAAGGAAATGGTCTGACCATGACAATGGAGTCAGACACAAATTCCTCACCCTCAGATGAGGAGGAATGTGTCCCTGCTCTCTTGCTTTAGCTGCTGTCAGTCGTGCATCAGCCGGTCTCCTTTGAGATCCTGCCTGAGCAGTTCAGGAAAAACATGCTGCTCTCTAAAAGCGAAGCTTCCTCTAGCCAGCAGTGTCTAGCTTTCACCAATGATTGCATAATTGACCTTTATAGTGCCTTTTGCTTCTGCATTTCTGTTTTACTCAGGTGCAATTTGGATCAACCAATTAATCATTTAATTAGAAAATGTAGGTTTCTTTGATCAGCCCTGACCTGAGCAGTGTTCTATCAGCTATCCAAAATGAGAGAAATGTGGCCCCATGAAACAAACGAATGGGTGGAGAAAGGATGGAGTTTGACCCCCAGAAATGGAGTGTTTGGATTTTGGTAGGGAAAAATCAGCGAGGTGGGCAGCTCCTCTTGCGGGACAATGCCAGTCCGCTGTACCACCGGCCAGAGGGGCTGAGAGGCCCTGGGCAGCCGGGCATGGAAGGGGCTCCCTCCACCGTGGGCCTGTGCCTGTGCCAAGCCGGCACCTGGGGAAGGGTTAAGCAGCGAGAGGGCTGAGGCAGGGCAGAGCATGTGTGGCTGCCTTTCATCCCCGAGGCACGAAGGCGGCTGCAATTAATGCTTGCAGAGCGAGCACTCTTGGCTCGGAGTTGGAGGCAGGTGCACCTCCACCAGAGCGCGGTGAGTGCCTGCGTGGGGAGCGGCCGCCCCGGCCCCCTTCGCACTCACCTGGAGCGTTGCCCCTCGGCTGACCTCCAGTGCTGGAAGCGGAGGGGCAGCGGGAGGGCTGCTTAGTGCTCCCGGGCTTGGAGGGCCGGTCATCCTCCACCACTACAGACTCCCTGGAAGCGGCCCTCACTGCCTCCCAAAGGCGCCACAGCTGCAGGGACGGAGCAGCTCTACCACTTGCCACAGAGCATGGCCGAGTGGGGAAACTGAGGCCCAAGGAGCAGGGCACTTCACCTGCACTGCCCTCACGGCCACCTGGAAGCAGCGGTGGCGGCTCCCATGCTGGCTGCGGCCCGGGGACGTGGCCCTGCGCAGAGCACCTGACCAGTGAGTAGAGGCAGGGAGCACATCGCCTGAGCCTTCTGGGCCGATGCCGGGGAGGGTGTCCAGCGGGGCTGGGAGGGCCCCCCGCTTTGCAGTGGGGGCTGTATGGTGGCCATACCTTTGCTGCTGCCAACCTGCTCAACCTGCTCATCCCCCCCCCCCCCACTTATGGGAAGGTCCCAGGGGTTTCTCCTGTTCCAGGGCACCGGGAGTGGCTACATGGCTAGAAATCCGATTCCTTCGGTGCAGGGGGCCTGCGTCATCCTGAGCTCGTGACAGTTCCTGCGCAGGCAAACGGGGAGGAGGCGCCTTACTTTACATGCATCGGGGCCCAAAGAGGATCCAAAGATGCCTCCACTTCGGATACACGGAGGAGCAAGAGAAAGTCATTGGTTGAAAAAGCAGTTCTTTGGAAACGCGGGAGAACCACGCAGTGGCTTGGTTCAGGCATTGTGCCTGCAATGTGCCCGGTGCTGAGAATGACCTGACCGGCAGGTCCAACTCCCAGCTCCCCCCCACTCTAACTGTCTCTTCGTCTCTCGCGCTCTTCCCAATGGACTCTTCCAACTGCCCCGGAATGCTGTCCTCCCATCCCACCCATGAAGTGGGGACACACAGATGGCAAGAGGCTTGTGCTGGTCCTCGGGGAGTCCGGGTCCCTTCCTGTCTCCCCTGCAGCCCTGAGCCCAGGGGGTGGTCCAGCAGGCTTCCTACCAAACTGGCAGGCACAGCCGAGCGGAGGTTTCCCTGGCGCGAGCCCCCCCGCACTTCGTGGAGCCGCTCTGGGCGCTGTGGGGCTCTGTGCTGTCCTCCAAAGGTGGGGCCTGGCTCCGGCCTGATGCGGATGAGCAATGTGCTGGACGCGGGGGGCCCTCGGGGCACAGCTCAGGGCTCAGCCCCTGCAGTGCTTCCAGCCACACGGGAGGATTCCTTGATCCAGGCGAGGCCCCTCGGTACTGCCTGGATTGGTCTTCCTTTCACAGTGGGGCAGTGGGAGCAGAAGGGCTTCGTGGCGGCACACAGGCTGAGCTTCTGTTCCGGTTAACGGGGTTGGGCGGCGAGCAGAAGGGCCTCGTGGCTGGTGCTGGTGCTGCCGTGTTTTGAGGGCCTCGAGCGGCTTCTGGGGACTGCCCCCTCAACTTGCTGCTGTAGCCCCCCCCCCCTTTCCTCTCAGATTTGGGGTTCAGGCAATGACTTGAGGCTGGGATGCAAAAGAGGACATGCTGCCCAATGCACCGTTTCTCACCATTGGCCACAGTCGTCGTGTACATGGCAGTAACGTCGCCATTTGCTGAACTCGGCTGCAGTGTGGAGTACGGGGCTGCCTTCCTCGCAGCCGCCCAGCAGGAGATGCCCTGCAGTGGCTCTGTCTTGGTGGACTGGTGTTTACCTCTCCTCTGCCGTCTTCTCACGTCTCAAGAGTCTTGGAAGGAGCAGCCCTTGTTCCCCAGGGCCTGCTTCCCAGTTGCTGGGACTCTCATTTCTGCTGTTCACCTATTAAGGGTGGCTAGAAAAGCGCTTCAGCTCACCCACACCTGTTGTTAAGGAAGGACTTGATGCTGATGCTGTTGTCTTGGCAACCATGACAAAGATGAAAGCCTCTGAGGGAAGCCTTGAACAAGAGCATGGAGAGACCGGGTGGGAGAATGAACGGAAGGGGTTGGAGGGAAAAAGCTCAAGGGGTTCATGAACATTCAAATGAATTGGGCAGTTTTACATTTAACCAGCTCACATTTTTAACCTTTGCAACAGTGACTGTTGGACCAAATGATTAGTCTTCAAAATGACAATTTAAGCATTGATAATTTATCTTCATTATTACCAGTTAAATCCTGGTAGTCACGGTGATTTGCACTTCAAGAATATTCTGTGTTCTACTATATTTACATATGGCCTCACATTTTAAAAATCCCAAAGCCCTTAACCAGGAGGTCATTCTAGAGCACATCAAATAAGTTGCTGCTGAAGGGACGTGATTGCTGGTGCCTGGCGTGTCACGAAGAAGAGGAGGAAATTCCAGCATTAGGAAGCCACCCCCGGGAAGGCCCGTTGCGGGAGGCAGCGTAGCCGATGGCACGTCCTCCCCGGAGGCTGCAGGGGCAGCATCTGAAGGCAACAGGGTGCCACTGCTCAGCCACGGGGCCGGTGCGATCTCTCTGTGCTTGCCCTGGGGCCCATCCGCACGTGCCCACTGAGCCACGTCAAGAGGCGCCAGGTGGCACTGCCCGGCTGGCTTCCCACGTCTCTGGCACCTGCTCAGGCTGCTGCTGCTTCTTCTGTGCAGGGCAGGCGATGGGCAGGAGAAATGGCGTGAAGGCTTCCTCTGCCAACCCGCCGCCGCCACCGTGGCTGTCTGTGCAAACTGCCTCGGACGGCAACCTGGAGCAGACCCAACACAGGGACCGGAGCAGCAGGTGATGCCCTCCCTCCTCCGTTGCCCCCGGGCTCGGCGCCGGCATGCCCTGGCAGAGCGAGCCAGGCCCAGCTGGCTGCTCCACGATGAGCAAAAGGCTTTCGGGACATGCTTGGGACTACTCCTGTGCCAAACAGCTGATGGATATGGGGCAGCTGGCCTGTGCCATCAGGGAGGAGCTTGGGGCAGGAGCAGCCAGTGGGGGGCAGGCCAGGGCTTGGAGCCTCAGCCTCCCCTGGACCGCCGCGCCAGTGGGACCCAACTCCATGCCTGAACTGGCGCAGGGATCCTCTCTGGACAGGGGGAACGGAGGGGTGGCCGGTGAGAGATCCCTCCTGGGGCAAGATGGGGTGTCAGGGCAGCTGAGCGTCACCGGCCTGTCTGGTCTCTCCGCAGAGCATCCTCCACGGGCGATGAAATGTCTTCAGAGCTGCAACAGGGGGCTGCCTCACAAGAGGCAAACCAGGAATCTCGCCAGGCCCTCCCCAAGAAGGGGGCCCTCTCCAGGTATTTGTGGGGCTTCAGCCAGGTACAGCCTGAGGGGCCTCTGGGCACTGCCGGGGGAACGGGGCTGCCGGAACCCTTGGAATGGCAGCCCTCCAAAATGCCCGCCCTGCGGCAGCCCTGCTCGGCTGTTACAAACCAGGCTGTGGCTTCCCTTGCGGAGTCTGTCCCTGGCCAGGCACAAAACATGAGATTACGCCATGCACGCAAGGCAAGGAGGACTGCCCGGCTGGCTGGGGGGCCTTCCGTCCTGCCCCCCGAGTGCACAGCATGCCTCTCCTTGTTCACAGGGTGGCCCGGCTGGTGATGGTCCTCCGGGGATGGGCGAGCAAGAGCCTGAAGGAGGAGGAGGAGCACACAGACGCCTTCCTCGAGCGCTTCCGCGGGCCGGATGTGAAGACCTTGGCGGTGGCGGCTGAAGACGGCTCTGGAGACCAAGAGCAGGAGAGGTGAGCCCCCTTCTCTCCTGCTGCCCCTCACGCTCCTCTGCTCTGCATGCATGCTGGGAAGGAGGGATGCAGCAGTCCAGAGCAAGAGGAGGGGCAGGCGGGAGGAGTGGCCCAGGGGTGGGCAGCCAGAGCCGCCCCCTCCCCTCCCTCCCTTCACTGCCAGCGAGGGGGGGCACCAAACCCCGGGGGCTTGCCTCTGTTTCCCGCTGGGTTCAATCAGGGCCGGGCGCCCGCTGTCGAGAGAAGCTGGCTCTGTGCTGGGGGGGCCGCTTGGCCAGCGCCACTCGCGAAGGCCCCGCATCAGCACTGCTCCTTCTCGTCGGCAGGGGTGGTGCAGAAGAGTGGGGCAGGGGCAGGAGCTGGCTGGCTCTTGCACGCCGGTGGGCAAGGATGGGGGAGCGTGAGAGGCCGAGCAGTGCCGGGCAGCCTTGGGCGTGTGAAGGTGGGCTCCCAGCGGGAGGGGCCCTGTCCGAGGGGCCTCCAGGCCCTGGGGCTGGCGCTGAGGAAGAGCAAAGATCATTTCTGGTGGGAGGAACAGATGTGGGGGGGGGGGGGCGCACCTAGCATGTCTTTGCTGAAGCCTTTCCCCCAGTTCAGAGAGCTCCTGTCTGAGCCGAGATGTGGGGGCAGTGGGGGCCGGCCCCAGCCACCCTCTGTCCCCATGCCCAGTGCTGCTTCCCGGCCCCTGACAGTGTCTTGGCTCTGTTTCCAGGAAGAAATGGGAGGTCGTGGTGGTGGATCCCGCGGGGAGCTGGTACTACCACTGGCTGCTGGTCATCACGGTGCCCGTTCTCTACAACTGGTGCACGCTGGTGGCACGGTGAGCTGGGCCCACGCACTGCCTGCGGCCCCACGCGGCCAGGGGGAGCGCAGGGCCTGCCTGGGGCTGGAGGGGGCGTGGGAGCAGCCCTTGCGCCTCCGCCTCCCCGCTTTGCAGCCCTTGGCCCTGGCGGGTGGGGCTCGGCGAGCAGGACCTGCTGCGGCCGCAGGGCCGAGGCTTTGCTGGCGGCCAGAGGGAGGGCTGGGAGGGTCCGGTGAGGCAAGGAGCTGCGGAGCCTCGACGCGCTCGGCAGGCAGTGGGCTGCCTGATGGGCGCATGTGCCACTGCCTGGCGGAACGGGCTGGCTGTGGCAGCGGCTGCAGCAGAAGCCCCCCCTTGCTTGCTTGCTTGCTTGCTTGTTATACTCCACTCAGTCTGCCCAGAGAGCCCTCCTGGACTGTTGGTTAATGCAGATTAGAAATGTCATGCTAAATAAATAAATATAGAAATGGGTTGGGGGCCAGCCTGAGGCAGCGTTGCCAGGATGCTCCTGGCCGGGAGGGCTTGGCCTCTGCCACGGCCAAGCCGTGTCCTGCCATGCCTCCGGGCGGCAGCCGCGCTGCCCCACATCGGGATGGCAGAGGCTGCGTTCTGGGGGGAGGGTGGACTGAGCTTGGCCCTGACGGGCGTGGGGGCGCGAGGGGCCCCAGGCCACACGCAGGATGCGAAGGGACCCGGACGCCATGCTGGGGGACTGGCATCAGCTCCTCCCAAGCAGCTGCTCATTGCCTGGGGGTCCTGCTGCTCTCGAAAGGGGCTGCCGCTGCTGAGCCATGGCATCCCGTTCCGCACGCAGGCACAGCAAGCCCCCAGCAAGCCACGGCTTGTCGTGCTGGTTTGCAAGCCAGACCTCCCCTCACACCGAACCACGCGGGGTGGGACCAAGCGAAGGGCGCCCCTGCATGGCTTGCCGGGCCAGTGGCCTCTCCCGCCGCCCGCAGCACCCGCTGAGTGGCTCCGCTGTGCTCTCTCCCGCAGAGCCTGCTTCAACGAGCTCCAGACAAAGTACTTGCTCTGGTGGCTGGTGCTGGACTACCTTTCGGACGGCGTCTATGTTGCAGACATGGTTGTCCGGCTGCGCACAGGTGGGCCTGGCAGGGAACGCCCCCCCACCCGCCCCCCACAGCACCCGGCGGCCACTCAGGCAAGGCTGGCGGCGCCCGGGGGACATGCCTCCTCTCAGCAGACGCTCTGAGCACAGAGTCCCCAGTGAAAGACGGCTGCCCCTCTGCGCCGGCACCTGGGCGCCAGTCGCCCTCCCGGTCGCTTGCATGCAAGGGCTTTGCCTCCATGCCGCACTGAGCCAGCAACTGACCTAAATCAGAGGCAGCAGTGCAACGCCCGGGCGCCTTTCCTGGTGTTCGCCAAGGTGCCCCCCCGCCCCCCCGCCTTCCTTGTTCTTTCTGTGTCTTTCACTTCTATGCTGCCTGTAGCCGAAGCTCTCTGGGCAGTTTGCAACCAAGTATAACAGTGATAAAACACAAGAGACAGAAAACATGAACAAGAATTTAAAATTAATTTAAAGAAGTAGTTAGCACATTTTGTAGCGCAAAAGGTTTCTGCTGGTGTTGAACATGGACTGTCGAGCAGCCTGGGAACGCCCCCTACCTCGGTGTGGTCTTTGGGGGGGCCGCCTGCCCATTGGCAGCCTCCCCATCTGGTGCAGTGCCTTGGGCCCCCTGTGCCCATGGACCCAAACTGTCGCAGTGGAGACGCCCTGGGGCAGAGTGCTCTCCACTTACCTGGGGTGGGCGAGGTGTGGGGGTCACGGCCACTCCTCCGCACGTAGCCCCCACCTCCTGCGCTGTCTGGCGCAGCCTCCAGGCTGCTGCTGATGGGTTTGTGCCTCCAGCCAGCGGAGGGCTCAGAACGAGAGTGGGAGGGAGAGGCAGAACCGGCGCGGCACCAGCAGCAGGGAGGCCTGCCTCACCAAGCCGCTGGAGTTTGCTGAGAGGCCCATGAGCCCACGGAAAGGGACGCTCTGGTGGCCCTCGCGTTTCTGGCCTTCCAAAGGCCTTTGGGCAGAATTCCGCACCAAAGGATCCTGAGCACATTTGGCAGTCATGAAATCAAGGGGGGGGGGGCCCCTCCTAGGGATCACTAACTGGTTAAAGAACAATAAGCAGGCAGTGGGAATAAATGATCATTTCTCCCCATGAAGGGCCCCGCGTGAGACCCCACGGGGTTCTGCATCAGCACCAGTGCTTCTTGAACTACTTACAAATGATCCAGACTTAGGAGAATGCAGTGGAGTGGCCTGGCTTGCTGATGACCCCAGACTGCCTGGGGTGCTGAACATGAATCGTGAATAACTCTCAGGGGCTCTCTCTGAGCTGGGAGCACGAGCAAGAAAAGGACAAATGCTGCTCAAATGCAGGGTAAAGCGGCACATGTTGGGACAGAAATCCCCACGGGGTCTCGGAGCTGTGCTGGGCAGCTCGGTGGAAATGCCGACCTGGAACGCAGCTGCTGCGGCCAAGACACCCTCCTTGTTGCCCTGCCCCGGAGGCAAAGGGCTGCTGAGCTTGACTGCCACTCTGCGTTTCCCCCGGCAGGTTTCCTTGAGCAGGGCCTGCTTGTCAGAGACCTCAAGAAGCTGCGTGAGAAGTACATTGGCACAATGCACTTCAAGCTGGACATCCTCTCCATTTTGCCCACGGATTTCGCATACTTTGCCACGGGCATACACCGCCCGGAGCTCCGCTTCAATCGGCTGCTGCGCTTCTCACGCATGTTCGAGTTCTTTGACAGGACCGAGACGAGGACCAGCTACCCAAACATCTTCAGGATCTGCAACCTGGTGATGTACATTCTGGTCATCATTCACTGGAACGCCTGTATCTACTACGCCATCTCCAAAGCCATTGGCTTTGGAGAAGACACCTGGGTTTATCCCAATGTTTCAGACCCTGAGTATGGGTACTTAACGCGGGAGTACATCTACTGTCTCTACTGGTCCACGCTGACCTTGACCACAATCGGAGAGACTCCCCCACCTGTGCGGGACGAGGAGTACCTCTTCGTCATCTTTGATTTCCTGATCGGGGTCCTCATCTTCGCCACCATCGTGGGGAACGTGGGCTCTATGATCGCCAACATGAGTGCCAACAGGGCAGAATTTCAGGCCAAGATCGATGCTGTCAAGCACTACATGCAGTTCCGCAGAGTGAGCAAGGAGATGGAGGTCAAGGTCATCAAGTGGTTTGACTACCTCTGGACCAACAAGAAGGCAGTGGATGAGTGGGAGGTGCTCAAGAACTTGCCTGACAAGCTGCGGGCAGAGATTGCCATCAACGTCCACCTGGAGACCCTGAAGAAAGTGCGAATATTCCAGGACTGTGAGGCTGGGCTCCTGGTGGAGCTGGTGCTCAAGCTGCGCCCTCAGGTGTTCAGCCCAGGGGACTACATCTGCCGGAAAGGGGATATCGGCAAGGAGATGTATATCATCAAAGAGGGCAAGCTGGCGGTGGTGGCTGATGATGGCATGACTCAGTACGCCCTGCTGACCACAGGCTGCTGCTTTGGGGAGATCAGCATCCTCAACATCAAGGGAAGCAAAATGGGCAACCGCAGAACAGCAAACATCCGCAGCATCGGCTACTCCGACCTCTTCTGCCTGTCCAAGGAGGACCTCATGGAAGCAGTGACCGAGTATCCAGATGCCAAGAGAGTCCTGGAGGAGCGTGGCCGTGAGATCCTCACCAAGGAGGGGCTGTTCGATGAGGCAGCAGCAGCGGCGGAAGGCGTGGAGCAGATGGACATTGGGCAAAAGCTGGACAGGCTGGAGACCAGCCTGGAGATACTGAGCTCCCGCTTCTCCCGACTCTTGGCGGAGTACGGCGCTGCCCAGAAGAAGCTGAAGCAGCGCATCACCCTCGTGGAGGGCAAGGTGAAGCAGGACCACCTGGGGGAGCTTCTCTCCGATGGCTCCACCAGCCCAGCCAGGAGCGAAGGCAAAGGCACACCGTGAGGCTGTGCGCACAGATTGTGTTTCCCGGCACGGGCCTCTCCTCACAGCTGCCTTACAGCCATTCCTCGGGTCTGTATCCGGCTGGGCGTTCCTTGCAGCTCTCGTGTGGGCCTGCGTCTCCCCCTCTTCCTGTTCCTTAAGAACTGGATGGCTGAAGCTGCTTCAAGAAGCTCCGCTTTCCTGTTTCATCCCAGCCATGCCACTCCGCTTTGCACAGTCGACCCAAGTGGGGTTCCTCAAGAGGGGCCTGTTGGGAATGCCCCATGGCGGGCTGTGCAGCTGCTCTCGGCCTTTGCTTGCCCAGCACCTCCCTCTCTTACCAAGCAGAATTCCACGTGCTGGTACTAAATCCTGATAGAAAAGCCCCGCTGGATCATGTCCTTTGTGTTCATAGGGCAGTTTCCAAGCCAACCCCATTTGTGAGCTGAATGTGACAGCTTCCCTAAGTCTGGGGCGTGGGAAGGACAAGGGGGCGTGAGTGCTTGTGCCCGGGCTTGGGGCCACCCGTTAGTGAGGACTAGAACATTTCAGAATTCAGAATCCCTGCCTTCTCTCAGCCCTGCACACACTCCGTAGCCCAGATCTGGCCACTCTTCAGCCCGCCCGCCCGCCCAGCCTCATTCCTCTGCTCTCGGGAAAGCTGAAGTCTTCCCTGGCCACGCTTCTCGCCTCAGTCCTCAAAGGCGCACGGCCGTGGTGGGATGCCTGCGGATGCAGCTGCTGGCAGGAGATGGCGCTGGGCTGCGGAGCTCTCCACACCCCCAGGAGTCTGTGAAGGACTCGTCTAGAGTCCTCCACCTTTCCCACTCCGCAGCCCAGCATGCTAAGGGCTTGCCTGGAGTGGCTGTCCCATGTGCTGGGGGCCCCAGAAGAGACCGATCCAGGACCTGTGTCCTCCTCTGTGTTCCTGAAGTCAGGATAGCCGTCCGAGGCTCTGGTTCGTGCCACCGCAGATCTCCCTTGGGTATAGGAAAGCACGGGTGGAGGTGTGAACATCAGAACACCAGCCCCCTCCATCCAGCTCCCCCTCGCACCGCTTTGGTTTTTGGACAATAGTCCTGATAAGCAGAGCAAGACACTGCGCCAGATGCTGCATTTGGGCCAATTTAGGCTTGGGAGCTTCAGGGCCATCCTGCTCGTATGCATGAGGCGGAACGAAGCAATTCCTCCCCCCTCTCCCACATATCCAGCTCAGCCGTGGCACAGGGCCTTTTCCAGTCAAGGCACAAGGTTTTGCCAGGAATCTCCAGGTCTGCTCGGATCATGGCAACGGGGAACACTTCAGCCCCAGAAGGAAGGCAAGATGCTTAGGGCCAGGGCCTGTTTATGCTCCCCAGGAGAAACGTGTGTGTGGCAGAGAAGAGGGCGCAGCTCTTCGAGTCACTCCACTGCAGGTACCTGTGCCATGGGAGCCGCTGCAGGCACCTTGTGGCAGCCTCTCCAGTTCTTGCCGTCCTGGGTGGGCCGAGCAGGGAGCCACTCCCTGTCTGGGAAGCGGGGTCTGCTCTGGGATGTGCAGGGCTGCCTTGCTCAGCCGGCCTGGAGTGGAGCAGTGAGGAGGAGGGGGGGGAGGAACAGCTCCGGCAGGCCAGGGGAGATGCGCTCAGGTGGCTCAGAGGCGCCACATGTGGGGCTGGAGCCGGCTGCCTCGCTTCTCCCTGGGGCGCAAGCCCCATCGGGCGGGCGGGTGGCTCTCTGGGCTGCCAGCTCGCCCGGTGCATGCCTTCGCTCTGTGGTTTCTTGCTTATGTTTTCCTCCGTGGTTGTGCACATGCAAATGGTTCAAGGAATTTGGGGCTGGGATGAATTTTGCAGGCTCGATTTTTGAGGTTAGCCAGTTTGCCACATGCATTTTGTACTGCATTTCAGATATGCCTGGGGCTTCTCCCCACTCCCCCCTCCACAAAGAAAGAAAGAAAGAAAGAAAAAAGATAAAGATAGAAGATAACTTTTATAAAGATTTTCCATCCTTGTGAAGCTGTTACTGATGCAAGTCGTCTCTGGCTTTGTGGCACGCCTATGCATGAATTCCCTCTAAAATGGCATCTCCTTGAAAGACTGTCTTCATTGATGGAATCAGACCGTCTCATATTTGGTGTCCCCTTGTTCATCTTTTCGTCAGCCCAGGGTGACGGTTGGGGTGGCGCTAAGCTCCCCTCTCGCATCACTTTGCTTGCATGGGAAATCAGTGCATTCGCCCTTCGGCTGCTGCACACTTTTGCACCGCCTTCCTTGGTGACCAGAAGGCAGTGTTGGGGACCCAAGTCAGGCAACTTGCGCCCAACTTCGACTCAAGTTGCATCAGTGGCTCGACTCGGGAGTAATGAGCAAGTGGCTCAGCTTGACCCAGGATTCCTGCATTTTTAATGACCAGATTGCTCCATGGCTTGCCCTACAGCAGGATAGCCAGGAAGGCAGGAATGAACACCGAAGAGGGGGTGGGAGGGAGGGAGCTTCAAGGGGGCCGGGGGGCTGTTGGCTCTTGAGACTTGAGAGGGAACTTGAGATTTGACTCAACCGTTTCTGGCAAGGACTTGAGACTCAGCTTGGTCTTGAAAGGAAACACTTGAGACCTGACCCAAGCCTTGGAGTAAAGGAACGTATCACTGCTGGAATCAAGCATTTCCAGTCTGTGGGTCATTGTTTTGTTCTCCGTATTTGCTGGTAAATTCTTGTTAGGATTTGGACCAGTTCAGACCCTGCAGCTTGGAATAGTTCTGCTGGAACCCTTTGTGCCCTGGTTGCTTTGGTCCTTCTAAGTGCCTTCAGAGCAGCTTTCCCTTCACTTTCTAAAACTGCAGGTTCTTCCTCAGTGGAATCTGTCATCCTACATTCTTTCCACCTGCCCTTTACTTCTCCCTGCTCAGATCGTATGATCCCCTGTTGGGCTTTCTGCATTCAGGTTTGAATCTCCCTTTGATTTCTTGTTTTGGCGTGTTATCAATTTCCTTTTAGACAGTTGCACAAGAATTTTGAATTTTGGCACCTGCTGTTGGAGCAGCAACTTGAATGAAGGCGATGTTGGTAGGTCTTCTGAGCACTCCGGTGAATGTGATTCGGTTGGACTTTGCATTGTAGCCTCTTCCTGCCTGAGCCACACCTTGCTTCAGCCTTGGAGCCACTCCAAAGAGTTCCATTTTTCCTTACAGACGCCAGCTCGCCTGGGCTCCGACTTCTTATGGTTCATGTTCTAAGTGCATGCCTTGTGCAATGCCGGACTTTCCTTTCCCCTCAGGGCCTGCCAGCCCCGTGCCTTCTTTTCAGCTTTGCTCTCGTTGCATCCTCAGTGGCAGCACTCTTCACGCGCCCCCTTTGCTCTGGCCCAGTGGCTGGTTGCGTGCTTCCTGGCCTGCAGTATCACCCTCCGGCACTAGCTCTTGCTTTATTCTGGGCTGCTTCATCACAGGGTTTTCAGGGTAAAAATATCCAAAAGGGTATCCCGTTGCACCCTTCTGTGCAGCACTAACCAGAGCCATTGAGTGCCACTGCCCTGGTCTGTGACTTGCTCTGCCAGCGCCACCTTCAGCGTCCTCTGCAGCCCGGCAGCCACCCTTCAGGAGCTCCTACGCTCCTGTCCTCATTCCCGATAGCCACTCACTTCTGCCGATGCGACTATCACACCTACAGAGGGCGGATGAAGCTCGGCGTGGTGCCTCAGTGTTTACAGCTCCCCGGGGGTGACCTGCCTGGTGAGAGCATGTGGCCCCCGGCAGCATGGCACTTGCCTTCATGACACTGTCACGGCCTCTCGTGGTGTTTGGGGGCGCATCCACCTGGGAGGAGGTGCCACTGGTGAATTAAATACATGGTCGTTAACCTTCAGTTATGCTACAGCTTAAGCTGCTCGAAGCCAAGGGGTGGGTGACGCAGGCATCTTCCATGGAACCCGAGTGATCCCGTGTGGGCGGCTGACAGAATTCCTGGGCATTCATAAATGGAGCTGCTGGCAGAATCGCAGCGCTGGGGCTGCCACGGCCGCGGCGAGAGCCCCCCGTGCTTGGAGCCAGCAGCGCCGAGGGCTTCCAGGCAGTTGGTGGCGCCGCCTCGCCCGCAGCAGCTGCCCGAGTGCGCCGTTGCGGCAGCGCACCGAGTGCCGGGAGCGAAGGGGCATCTGGCTCGCTTTCTGCACGAAGCAGCGGCGCTGCGCCCTTCGCCGCTTGCTCGCGCGGGACCCGCGGCGCGCCGGGCGGGGGCGCCCCGGGCAGAGCCCGCGCGGGCCTTTCGGAGCGGCCCGAGGAGGCGCCGCTTCAGGACCGCGGACAGCGGCGGCGGAGGGCGAGCCCGGCGCATGCGCCCTCAGGAGCGAGCGGCGGCCTCGCGGCGGACCCGCCGGGGCTCCCCGGCCTGGCCCCGGGGGCGCTGGAGCGCCGCTCCCGGAGCCCGAACTCTGGCCGTGCGGACTGGGCGCTATGGGAGTTGTAGTCCAACACACGTGGAGACACCAGGTGCGGGACGGCTTGGCTAAAGCTGTAAAGCGGTCGATGCAGTCAGCGAACAGGCACTTTCGCACCGGCGGCTTTCGTGTGTAGAAAGACGAGCCAGGAACTTGGATTCGCAGTCTCATTCTCCCTGGTCCGTGGGCCCGGCCCCGAGTGCTCCTCCTCTGCAGCGCTGGCACCCTGATCTCGAGCCACCGGAGCCAAGAGAAATCAGGGAAAAGGTTGCCGATAGCCTTGGACACCACGACCTTTGCTGCTGCCGATGAGCATTTCCCTTTTCTGAACGACAAGTGACCGCAATGAGGCCAGTAGCAGCCAGGTTTGGGGCCTTCTAGTTAATCCCTGTCTCAAGTTCTGCAGAGAAGCCACGAGGTCCAGCTACATGGGAGAGGCAGGGAAAGTAGGAGAACATTCTGGGCACACTGCCTGGAGGGAGTCCTCCTTGGGCTCTCTACAGCCATCAGCCCGACTGGAGCAGGAACGAGCCCCTTCCACACCTTTCCATGTGGGCTTTGAGGGTGGCTTGCCAAGGGCTCGTCTGGACCCAGTATATGTGCTGCTC